AAGGAAAACGTGAAATGAAATGCTAGTAATCTGCAGTGTGTGCCAGCTTCTTTGCCTTTGTGAAGGGAAACGTTTTTGGGCTTTACTCATTAAGGTAAAAACAGAGAAAAGGAAAACAAAGTGTCTTGAAGGAACTCTTACTTTACTTTTCTCTGAGATTTAATTTGGAAGTCATGGAAACTACCTATTATCTGATTTAGTATAGGGGAGAAACATGCAGGGAGGTAATCCTTGAATTAAGCAGGTTTTTTTTTTTTTTTCAGAGCCCTTCCAAGATGACCACACACCATTTGTACAACAGAAGTTGGTGTCCTCATGCTGAGCAAACAATAGGGAGCCATCCTGTCTTTGAATAGGATCAGCTAGTTTAAGAGTCAGATTTTTTTTTATGTTTAATTTACAAATGGATCCTAGTGATAAGAAATGTGAGCAACTAGTGGAAACAAACACGCAGTGAAAGGGTTTTATAATGAGAGGTTCGGTACAATCTGTTAAACAATTGACAACAGTTAAGAGCAAATAGTTTTTAAATGCATTCAGACTAGGAAAATTGCATAGCATTATCAAACTTAAAACCAAGAGTTATCTCTTATTGTATGTGAACATTTCCTTTTAACTGCTCATCTTTTTGATGTTTATTCAGAAATGTAAAACTTCAGCTGCCTTTATAGATAAGAGGCCGGATCCCAGCGTTTGTTACTCTGGTGTAAACTCCTTTTATTTGCAGAGATTGTCCAGATTTATACACGCGTTTTTCAGATCAGAATCCCACAAGGAATGCTTTCAGTGAAGTTTGTGGAGGCAAATACAAGATTTACTTAATTTTGGAAGTGTTGCTCGAAGCATGAGAAGTGGCCTTGAAAGTGCCTCGGTGCAGTAATATGAATGTTACCATTTTATTGGGGATTTTTCCTTTCTGTTCGGTTTGATGTCTGTAACTGCGGCAGAATTAAGTTTGGTTGGAAAACCAATCTGTTTTACAGGTTCAGAGCTTATACCATATGTAGTAAACTTGATTGAAATGGGGAGCTTTTCAGCCTGTAGCTTGGTAATATATACTTTCTTTTTTCTTGTCAAAATCTGATTGGGACCTCGAATGACTACAAATTAGTTTAGTGATGGGGCAACTGTCACAGATATCTTTGAATGAGTTGAAAATGAACAAGGTTGACAGGAACGTGAGAGTCTAATGAGTCCTTCAAATGGTTGATTTGCACTCAGTGGACAACTAGACAATAAGCGGTATGAATTATTGGAAATCAATACTTTGCTATGGAATTTCATTATGCTCCAATGTCTTCAGTTCATAGTATTTTATATTTTGATGGATTATCTGAAGCAAACGATCATCTGAGTCATAGGGATTGATAAAGCTCCCTTGTAGGGTCTCAAATCTTGCTTTTGACTGATTTTTGTGAAGTAGAAATATCGATCTATTTCCATGTACCATCTTAGTCTATTTTTTAGAGTGGTAGATAAAAACAGTGCTTTTAAATAAAATGTCCAGCAGATTTTTTTTTTTTTTTTTTTTTGTATTGCTGTTCAGTTTCTAATCCATCATCTTTTGATGTTTTAGGAGACACAGAAAAGGGTCAAGGAAATCGAACCACTAAGAATAAGGACGCCCATGTCTGTGGCAGGTGCTGTGCTGAGTTCTTTGAATTATCAGATCTCCTGCAACACAAGAAGAACTGTACTAAAAATCAATTAGTTTTAATTGTGAATGAAAATCCAGCTTCTCCTCCTGAAACCTTCCCTCCTAGTTCCCCTTCTGATAATCCTGATGAACAGATGAATGACACAGTTAATAACACAGATCAAGTAGACTGCAGTGACCTTTCAGAGCATAACAAACTTGACAAGGAAGAATCCATGGATGTGGAGGCTTCCAGCATTAACAATAGCAGTAGCAGTTCCAAGAGTGTCAACAATAGTATTACAAGCAGTAACAGCTCCACAATGGGTACCTCAGCTGTAACAACCTCTCTACCTCACATAGGGGATCTGACGACGTTAGGCAACTTTTCAGTAATAAACAGTAACGTAATAATTGAAAATCTTCAGAGTACTAAAGTGGCAGTAGCACAGTTCTCGCAGGAAGCAAGGTGTAACGGTGCGTCGAACAACAAGCTTGCTGTACCTGCCCTGATGGAGCAACTGTTGGCTTTACAGCAGCAGCAGATCCACCAGTTGCAACTGATTGAACAAATTCGTCACCAAATATTATTGTTGGCTTCCCAAAATACGGACATGCCAACGTCTTCTAGCCCGTCTCAAGGTACTTTACGAACATCTGCCAACCCCTTGTCCACGTTAAGTTCCCATTTATCCCAGCAGCTGGCTGCAGCAGCTGGATTAGCACAAAGCCTTGCTAGTCAATCTGCCAGCATCAGTGGTGTGAAACAGCTACCCCCTATACAGCTACCTCAGAGCAACCCTGGCAGCACTCTAATTCCATCCAGCAGTGGCTCTTCTCCAAATATTAACATACTGGCAGCAGCAGTTACAACACCGTCCTCAGAAAAAGTGGCTTCGAGTATTGGTGGCTCACAGCTCAGCAACCCACCAGTATCGGCATCATCTTCACCAGCTTTTGCAATAAGCAGTTTATTAAGTCCTGCATCTAATCCACTTCTACCTCAGCCCACCCCTAGTAACTCTATTTTCTCCAGCCCCTTGTCCAATATCGGAACACCTGCAGAGGATTTAAACTCCTTGACTGCCTTGGCACAGCAAAGAAAAAGCAAGCCACCAAATGTAACTGCTTTTGAAGCAAAAAGTAATTCAGACGAGGCGTTCTTTAAGCATAAATGCAGGTTCTGTGCTAAAGTGTTTGGGAGTGACAGTGCCTTGCAGATTCATTTACGTTCTCACACTGGCGAGAGGCCATTTAAATGCAACATATGTGGAAACAGGTTCTCCACAAAGGGAAACTTAAAAGTCCACTTTCAGCGGCATAAAGAAAAATATCCTCATATTCAGATGAATCCGTACCCAGTGCCAGAGCATTTGGACAATATTCCTACAAGCACGGGTATTCCTTATGGGATGTCTATACCGCCAGAGAAGCCTGTCACGAGCTGGCTGGACAGTAAGCCAGTCCTTTCCACGCTCACCACTTCTGTGGGGCTGCCACTCCCGCCGACGATACCAAGCTTGACCCCGTTCATCAAAACTGAGGAGCCTCAGCCGATTCCCATTAGCCATCCCTCTGCCAGCCCTCCCTGCTCTGTCAAGAGTGACTCGGGAACCGCTGACCCCACATCAAAAATTTCCAATGGACTTTCTGATGAGGTAGAGGCTGGTGCTTTGCCTACCTCAAACGGCAAAATGGAAGAAAACCCTCAAAATTCAAACTCCGTTGCTAACATGAGCAGCTCTGTGAGTTCACCGGCAGCAGACTCGGGCTCTGGCAGCATCGCCACTTTTACAAATCCACTGATGCCTCTAATGTCAGAGCAATTTAAGGCAAAGTTTCCATTTGGAGGACTGTTGGATTCGACGCCAGCGTCTGAAACGTCAAAACTGCAGCAACTGGTAGAAAACATTGACAAAAAGGCAACCGATCCCAACGAGTGTATCATTTGCCACCGAGTTCTCAGCTGCCAGAGCGCACTGAAAATGCATTATCGCACCCATACTGGTGAGCGGCCATTTAAATGTAAAATCTGTGGACGCGCTTTCACTACTAAAGGCAACTTAAAGACTCATTACAGCGTCCACCGTGCCATGCCCCCACTGAGAGTACAACATTCATGCCCGATCTGCCAGAAGAAATTCACCAATGCCGTTGTGCTTCAGCAGCACATCCGGATGCACATGGGAGGGCAGATCCCAAACACCCCAGTCACCGAAAACTATCCCGAGTCAATGGAATCTGATACGGGATCTTTTGATGATAAGAATTTTGATGATTTAGACAACTTCTCAGATGAGAACATGGAAGACTGTCCTGACAGCAGCGTGCCAGATACTCCGAAATCTGCAGATGCATCACAAGACAGCTTGTCTTCTTCCCCTCTGCCCCTGGAAATGTCAAGTATTGCTGCTTTGGAGAATCAGATGAAGATGATCAATGCAGGACTTGCTGAACAACTTCAGGCAAGCTTAAAGTCAGTAGAAAATGGGTCAGTGGAAGGGGATGTTTTGACTAACGATTCGTCGTCTGTCGGTGGTGACATGGAAAGCCAAAGTGCTGGAAGCCCTGCTGTCTCGGAGTCTACCTCTTCCATGCAGGCCTTGTCCCCATCCAACAGCACTAACGATTACCACAAGTCACCAAGTATTGAAGAGAAACCAGTAAGAGCTTTACCAAGTGAGTTTGCCAATGGTTTGTCTCCAACCCCTGCAAACAGTGGTGCTTTGGACTTGACATCTAGTAACACTGATAAAATGATTAAAGAAGAGTCTCTGAGTATGCTCTTTCCTTTCAGAGATAGAGGTAAATTTAAAAACACCGCATGTGACATTTGTGGCAAAACATTCGCTTGTCAGAGTGCCTTGGACATTCATTACAGAAGTCATACCAAAGAGAGACCGTTTATTTGCACAGTTTGCAATCGTGGCTTTTCCACAAAGGGTAATTTGAAGCAACATATGTTGACACATCAAATGCGAGATCTACCATCACAACTTTTTGAGCCCAATTCCAGTATCGGTCCTAATCCGAACTCTTCGGTTATGCCTGCTAATTCACTGTCATCGCTCATAAAGACGGAGGTTAACGGCTTCGTGCACAGCTCCCCTCAGGACGGCAAAGAAACACCCTCTGCTCTGGCTGCTTCGGGGCCGCTGTCCTCTGCCACGTCCCCTGTCCTGCTGCCTGCTCTCCCCAGAAGAACCCCCAAACAGCACTACTGCAACACGTGTGGGAAAACGTTTTCCTCCTCCAGCGCTCTGCAGATCCACGAAAGGACGCACACTGGTGAGAAACCTTTTGCCTGCACTATATGTGGAAGAGCATTCACAACAAAAGGCAATCTGAAGGTACTTTTTCTTCTTGCTGTTCTTAGGTTTCATTTTGTCCTTGCTGCGTTGGTGTTGGTTGGTTGGTTGGTTTCCAGCGTTCACAGTGATTAATGCTGCAGGCAGCAGTACCTGTGGTATGATAAACAGAGTGATAGTACTAGATGGGCTCTTGTTGAGTGCTTGCATTGGCAGCAGGTCCGAAGCGTGATCTGTTTTTGATGCATAATTAAAATTCACCTACTAGCAAAGACCATCTATGTAGAGCGTGAAAGAGAACAGCCATATGTTGGTAGGCAGTACTAATAAATAGAGAAATGCTTTCAGTAAGAAAGCAAAAGGCTCTCAAATGTGTTGTTTTTTCGTAGCTATCATGTAAAATGATGATTGTTTAAAAAAACTATTAACATAATTCTGGAACTAATGGGTAATACTTTAATTGATTATATAACTAACATTTCCTACTGATATGTGTTTGGAAAAGCAAATATACTTAAGTTTTAGAACACCAGTTGAGCACTTTACTGTGTACATTTTTCTGTTGACAGAGTATTTCTCTAGAGGTTGCTGCCAGTAATGTGAGATGAATAATTACTTTCAGGCCATTCTGTCTATACACGAGGCTCTCCGATGAGCAATCAGCAAAGGATACTTTCTGCCTGTCTGAAAAGGATGTTTATGGGGAAAAGGGTGTCAAATACAATACTTACCACTGCAATGAAAGTGGACATAGCAATTCTAGCCCCAAAAGCAGCTATCTGCAATTGATGGAGTAACACAAAGTCATTATAAGCTAAATACACATAATAATTTAAAAAAAGTAAGAAGTAACGTACTGTTCAGGAGGAAGACAGGATATGCTGGGTGATGGTGCTGGGCTGATCCAGAAGAAGCTTGTTTATTACTCCAGATGGGAAATGCATCCGCTGCCTTTACTGCTTTATTACGTAACAAGACTGGACATGTTTGTGAACTGCTGCCTTCACCACGATGAAAATAAGTTTGCCAACTGCTACTCTTTCTTTCTTTCTTTTCTTCTTCCTCTCTTTCCAGGTTCACATGGGCACTCACATGTGGAACAGCACTCCCGCAAGGCGAGGCAGACGACTTTCTGTCGATGGCCCCATGACGTTCCTAGGAGGCAATCCTGTAAAGTTTCCAGAAATGTTCCAGAAGGATTTGGCTGCGCGGTCGGGGAACGGAGACCCGTCCAGCTTCTGGAACCAGTATGCAGCAGCGCTCTCCAACGGCTTGGCCATGAAGACCAACGAGATCTCCGTCATCCAGAACGGCGGCATCCCTCCGCCGCCGGGGGGCCTGGGCAACGGGGGCAGCTCGCCCATCAGCGGCCTGACGGGCAGCCTGGAGAAGCTCCCGAGTTCGGAACCCAACGCACCTCTAGCTGGTCTGGAGAAAATGGCAAGCAATGAGAATGGGACAAACTTCCGCTTTACGCGTTTCGTGGAAGACAACAAAGAAATTGTAACGAATTAGTAAAAACTATACATAACATTCCTGCAAATAGTGCAACCTAGGGTTGCTTTTTTCAAACTGCGAGCTACAACATTACAGAGACTTTTTTTTTTTTTTTTTTTGTACCATGTTCTACTTCTAGAGTTCTAAGAGAGCTTATTTATTAGCGATATAACCTTGCTTTGCAAACAAATGCAAGCATTAACTTTGGTCTCCTGTATTTTGAACTAAATACTAATCGACTAGAGTGCTGTAAAGTTGCTGTAACATTTATGGCAGTTGCGAGTCTGTTCTGCTAGGTGATCTTATTCTGGCATTAACTTATTTTCTATACCCAGTTTAACATGAACTCTGGTATTGATGCAATGCCTCAGTGATGCATTAGATCTCTAATAAAAGTCTGTATATAAATGTACACTTTGATCCTGCTGGAAATTTTATCAGCAAAACACATTGTTTAATTTTTCCAAACAGAATTAAGAAAAGGACTGAAAGGATATAGACTGAATAGTGTGGGTCCTTTACACAGCTCAGTTTTTGATTTTTATTATAAAATTAAAACTGCTTTAATTTTTGTAGGTTTAACATTTTCCGTTTTGAACTGTTATTTGTATTGTGCTTTTTACTTGAGTCGTCTTAAATGTTAATACATTTCTGTACAGTAATAAGCACGCAGATTATTAGAGGAGATACTGAAGTGTTGTTTTGGTAGTTGAAACTGAGACGTAACATTTTGCCTTGTAGGTATATCCATTATAGAAGATGTGCTGGACTTTCACAATGCTGCTAAGTATAGCATCTTGAACAACTCTCGTGGACAACTGTAGATGCTCCTGTATATACAATAAGACATCACTTTCATTAAAATGTATATACGTTCCTTACAAGACCAAGCCCTACTCCTTGACTAAGGGAACAAGTATAGTGTCTGTTTATTTTGTATTAGGTATGGGGGCAGGGGGAACCTTGGACTGTTACATGCACTTTCTCGGAAAGTTGAAAGGAAAAAGAGGTCCAGTTTCTTTAACATTTAATACTTACTAACAGCAGAGATACTGTAATTTTACTCGAGTAATCAAATACATTTTTGCAACAGATAAAAACTGCTGTCTCTGTGTTTTTAAAGTGTACCTGTATTTGGTAATCATTTTGAATGTATTACTTAGCCTTTCCCTTGGTTAACACGAACTGTCCAGGTTGTACGTGTGTGTTTATATTTGTAAGTATGAGTATACATATGTGCTGCATATTAATTGCTGGTATATTTTTCGTACTCCCTAATAGTGGGGACTTTCTCCTTAATTAATCAATTACGCCTTTTCATCAAATTGTAGATATTTTGGCATTTTTCTTTTCTTTATATATATATATATACATATATATAAAAAAATGCTGCTAGCAAAGACCTCATCGAGCCTGGGGAATTTTCCTTTGAAGGAAGTGCTTATCACATTTAAGGCTTGATTTGGTTCAAATGCTTTATATTTGATATTAATTTTACTCTATGAGAGTCTATGTTTGTGGCACGCTTACGCTGCTCTATCTGTGTTAAGATGTCCACTTGCAAACCTCCGTATGTTATATGGAGCCTATAACTTGACTGTAAAGACAAAAAGAATTGCTTTGGCCTCGCACGTGATTTGGCTTCCCTTCTGCTCCTGCAGTGACCGCCGACCTCAGCGGGAGCGTGGGGACACGGAGCTGAGCCCAGCGCTCCGACCCGAGGGCTGTGATCTCCCTAATGTTATCGCTCACGGCAAATAAATTAGTTTGGCTGCCTTCAAATTACGGATGGTCCAAACAAACCAGCCAACCAGGAGCGACCGGTTGTGCACGCACGTATATTCTGTTCACAACTGCAGCACGCAGGTATTTGCTCTAGGGGAGTTTCTTTGCTATGGGCACAAGGGCCGTTCTGCTCTCCCGCACCTCGGTCTCCTCGCGCTCCCCATCGATTCGGGCGCTGCAGAGGGCTTGGCTGAAAAGCTGGGGAGGGAGAAAAACTTCCCGAGGAGTTTTGCCGTTAATACGATTATGAACGCTCAGTAAAGTATAACGCTGTAGCCTGAACACCTCCCGGACTCGCTATCTTTAGAACGCTCTCCTGTTTGACCGCCACGGCTCCGCGGTGCGCGTGCGGCGGCCGTACCCGGAGCCCGCCGGCTTCTCGGTGCGAGCAGTCAGAAAGGTCGAGCCACCTTTTGCTCTCGCACAAAGCTAAATCGAGCGTGTTTCCACGGCCGCCTCGGCGAAGCTCCAACCCCCGCTCCGCGCCGAGCCGAGCGCGGCAGCATCGCTGCAGGCGGCGGGGCGGTCGGGGCCGCGCGGCGTTCCGGCTCTCCGCTCCCGCTGAGGCGCAGCGCCCCGCGGCCGTTTTGCAGGAGCGAACACGAGCGGTTTCCTTTCGAGGCCGCGCGGCGCGAGGACGGCCGTCGGTTGGGCGCGTGCCGGGCGGGAGCGGCTGAGGGAACCGCGCACCGCCGAGCGGAGGGGACGCGGCGCCGCGGCCGTTCCGGGGGCTCCGTAACCGCGCCGCAGGTGAGGTGCGACGGGACGGGGGCTTTTTTCTCCCCGCCTTTCGGCGGCGTTTGTCCGAGGAGCCGCCCCTTTCCTCCGCGCGGATCGATTGCCGCGATGGAACGCGGCGGGGCGGGGCGGGGCCGCTCCTCTGCGTTCCGGCCGCGGGGATGGGCGCTCGGCGGTGAGAAAGGGACCGGACGTGTCGCGCTCTGCCCGGCGGACGCTGCCATCCGTCCCCGCGCCCTGCGAGGCTTTTCCCTCCCCCCGCAGCTCGGGGCGGAGCCGCCGCACTCCCCGCCCCGAAGCCGGAGCCGAGCGGCGTGGAGGCGGAGCCTTTCCCCGCCCCGTCGGGCGGAGCGCCCGCTGCCAGCAGCGGGTTTGGGGGGGGTGCGTGCGCGTGTAATTCGCTCTGGAAAGGCGGCAGTTGAACGTCCCGTTACCTGACACCGGGCCGTGGGCACCGGGGGAGCCGGCTGTCCCCGGGGCGGCGGCTGGCAGGCAAACAGAGGCGCCCGCGCTGCACTCACCCGGCGCAGGATTTCCTATTCACAGACACTGCATTAGTACTTATTCAGGAATGGGACATTTTGCTTCTTTCTTAACGGTTTTGTTTGTGCGGCCGCATTTTTTCTCACTAGCAACAAACTTTTCCTCCTCTTTTTCCTTCTCCTTCACGCTCATCGCAATTTTATGATCCATTAAAATTAAGCGCGGAGGTTTCTCTTTCTTTCTTCCCCCCCCTTTTTTTTCCTTTTCTTCCCCGCCTCTCCCCCACCCCACTTTTTCCAAGCTCCAACGATCGCTCAATTCATCCCCTTAACGAGTCGCTTTCTTCACTCGGCAGCGATTTATTTAAGCACCGGGCTGGCAGCGCGCGGAGCCTCCCCGTGCGAGAAGGGCGGCCGGGCGGCGGAGCGCGCAGCACCGCGGGGCAGCAGCGCCTGGAGCCGGGCGCTCCCAGAGCCCCGCGTAGCGCCGGCCGGCAGCCGCACGCCGTGCCCGACGGCGCAGCTCCGCCCGCGCAAAGGAGGAGGGATGAAAGGCGGTGGGGGATGGAGGGAGGAGGCGGCGCGCTGCTCCGCTGGGGCGGCAGAGAGGTGCGAGGGGCACCGCCCGGCTTATTCCACGTGCAGATGACAGCCAAGTCCCAAAGGTTTCTTTTTTTGTCGACGGGAAGGGGGACGGATTTCCGCGTTGCCTCCTGTGCTGGGCTGTTGTTGGTGAGGGCGTATTTGTTCTTTTGGGAGCCCGGAAGCCACAAGCTACCGGGTTGCACCTTTGCAGGAGGCCGCTGTTACTTGGCACGTGAAGGTGCGACTGAAGTTCCCTTTCCCACCCCCACCCCCCTTTTTTTGCTCCCTGCCAGGCTGCAGTACTTCTCCATTTATTTATTTAAAATCAAAGGATCGTTTTCTATCTGGCTTCCTTCCCTCATGAATATGAATTGACAGAAGTTAAAATAATGTTTTGCAAATAAATGGGTACGGTTATTTACACAAGCCAGAAGCAATATGTCTTTTAGCTGCTGAGCTGAAATATAATGACTTAAAGATTTCACATACAATACAATCTCTTGTATAAATACTTTTTCCTAGGCAAAATGTTAAGGAGGAATAGAAGTTTGGAAATATCTATAGAGAAGAACAGAAATAACTGGAGAATGTGCAACTTCCCTGAGCACAGGGTTACAGATAGCTATGTCTATGCTCTCTCTCCTGATTTTGTATTTCTGTTTTTTTACATCCAGGCTATAATTAATATAAGAGCAGCTGAGCCAATCTTTCTGTCACTACTGGCAGTGGCCTAGAGGATGCTTAGAAAATAGCCAGCACGTGGTGATTGCTGCTTGGGAGGATCTCCTTGTTCTAGAGGCATGAGATACTCAGAGTTCCTGAATGACGTGCAGAGACCCAAGTATGTCACAGGTAAGTGAGGTGTAAGCATGGTAGTGATCAAAAGCAAGTTTCAGTCTCGAATCATACTATAGTTTAGTCCTACTATAAGTCTCTTTTATTTTCTGTTTTTCTTTAGATATTTGTTTTTGAATCCACA